ACTTACACGTCATCTGAGGATCCTGCTGATGGCATGGTTAGACTCGGCGAGCTGGTTAGATCCGAGAGATAAATGGTTCACGTGAATATGAAAATCAGATTTCGTAAGTCATTGCCTTTCATTTAATTTTCTTATCTCATACACAGAAGTAGCCATGAGTCTGACACTTTCTACTTAAGATTGTTGTCATTATGGGTATGGTCTAGAAAACAAAGGGTAAAGAGGACACATGGAACACACCTTTGAAGTACTGTGAGATGTCAAGGTTTCTTGTTAAATTCATAAACAGCTATAGCTAAATGCACAAACTAATACATGAACTGTATAAGTATAATCCACATTGTTTCCCCCATTGTGACAGAATTACAGATCATTGTATCATAACTACTTGTGAATACCTACTGAAGGTGAAACTTAGAAGTGCCGGCACCCAGACAGGCTGGCTCACTATGGCTGGGCACACTGGCACAGTGCACACTTGCCAGTCACGGGACAGAACCAGAACTGATTCCAGTATACGAAAACACAGGAGAATCAGAAGGATGACAATCACTTTTCTACTGCTGTACTGTACGTCCCCAAGTTTCCTCATTCCAGATAACGGAGAACAAAGTCCCATTTAAGATGTGAGTCCCTGAAGCAGGGAGGTGCTCTTTTGGTTAATCTACTCCACTTCTGTGCAGTGGGAGAACCGCCAGTGCTGCTCCTGACACAGGAGAAATTCCAAGAGAAACGAGCTGCATCTCCACTTCTCAAACGGCGTTGTCCTCTTCAAATAGATGGATTCCCCTTGACTCTTCTTCTGTCCAGAGCTGGGCGTCTGACCCAGGGATGAGTGTACTAGGCAAGTGTTCTACCTCTGAAGCACAACTCCAGCCTTTCCTTACTTTCAATTGAGAAGTAAGAGGGCCTTCTCCATTTTCCTGTCAAAGTGGGATTGAAGCTAGAAGGTCAGAAAAGAATTACAGCTTTACAGTTTGACACCCATTCCCCCCCCCCATCCTGGTGTATAAATTCATGCAAGGGACATGGCCTGGAAGGTCAGAACTTGGTGAGAAATGAGTAACAGCTTCCCCTTCTAAACATTGTTTTATCTGATGCCTGGCAGGTACTCGTTTGTGTGAGAGGTGAGATGGGGGGGGGTGGTCAGAGCAGTCAAGGCTTTCTGATGATGCTAGGACTGAAATCTCCTAGACCCACGCATCTCCTGTCTTGCCAAGTGACCCCTGCACACCGGATGACTTGAACGAGATTATCCATTTTGGAAAATGCCGAAAGTGAAAGGCTAGACAATACCGGCTTTTGCCATATTTTTTCCACTCAGCCGTGGCAAAGCTGAGAAGACTGGAATAGGATGTACTAATTTCATTTTAGACCTGTTTTCCCACGTCAACTTCCCTGCAGCCTGAGGGCAACCAGTGGCGTAGTACCGAGCACCGACTGAGTGCCCAGGCCTGTGCATAGCTACTCACCCTTAGCTCCCACCTTCTATGCATCCGTCTGTGCTCTGTATGAGCTCTGTTCTCCTGCTGAGCATCCCAGTTTCCCTGGATCCTGCCCAGGGACTCAGAGCCCATCTTATCTTGAATCTTAGCATGCATCCTGGTCTGAGGCACTTGTTAGTTCGGTGAATAGTGACTCTTGAATGCTTGCAAGATAACATTTATGTTTAAAGTCTGCCCCCAATAACTTAAAGTGAGAAATAGGGAATTCCATGTAGAGGTGCCAAAGAGTATCTTCGAAGGTTAAATAAAAAGAAGACTCTGTATAACAATCCTTAAATAGCAAAGTTTAGTATCCCTTGTAATTAAGCCTGTATTCATCCCTTGTATTCAAGCCTGAGCATATTTAAATTTCTTTACCATGTCTTTAGTGTGGGCAGCTGTTAAGAGTGGCCGACTGAACTCTGTTCTCATCAGCAGAGCATTTTTTTACTTATTACTTTGTGAGCTCTGAGGCAAAATTTGCAGAAGAGGCGGTTCTATCCATACTTAATTACAAGGATTTAATAACATGAGCTACTGTCTTAATTTCATCTCACCTAAGTGCTACCTCTGGTTGTTATTTATGCAATGAAATGATGGAATTCCCAAGTCCAACTCCTTGGCATACGGTGATTCTATTTCCATCATTTCCCATTCTTGAGGACTCAATAAGATTCAGAAGTCAAATCAATCTAAGATAAGAGACAGAACGTGCTTCCTGCTTCCCTGGCTTGGCTGTAGCTTTTCAATTTTGGAAGACAGGAAGAAGCTGATCACTAAAGTCTCCACCAGCAACTACTCCAAGCAGTAAAAAGAACGTGCGTCGGTCTTACTTCTTCCCATGAAGTCATCTTCTTTTGGTCGTGAAGTGTATTAAATGGAGGAGCAGTTTATGCCTGACGGGTAGAATGGCATCTGACCATCTGTTGCTGGGAGAGTTTCATGGGAGAGACTCGTGAGAAGTAACATTGGCATTTTATAGTAGAGACCATCTTAGTGAAGATGAGGTTTAGCCACACCTCACTTCTGTGAGGTGGGAAGAATGAAGGGCGGATGCTTTTCCTATGACAGGATGAAGGAAAGTTTAAATGTGGGAATACAGCAGTCGTAAACGGGAGCTTGTGTTTTTAAACTGTTCGCTAAGAAGAGCCCATCTAAAAGTAAGGGTAGCTCTGGTCATTTAACAATCATTTAAGCTTACTCGGGAAAAACAAGATCCTCTAGGGCTCTTTGCATATAATTAAACCTTGCATTTGCAATGCCGTAGATGGTCACTTTCTGCAGCAGTGTGTGAAATAAATTATGTCTTCCAGTTGGTTTTCTGCAGGTCCCTACGTCACATGGGGCTCATTCAACTGCTCCTAACGGAGGGAAACAACACCTGTTTAGGGTTTGAATGTATAATAGTGTGTTGATCTCTCACAATAAACAGCTGGGATTGTCTCCTTTGGGTCTAGCCAGGGGCACAGAGAGTGCCATTGGTTTTTCTGAACCTCACAACACAACTTTCTGGAATGTTGATTCATTTCAAGTTACAAATTATATTCATTTCAAAAGGGGGCCATAGCAACTCCCACAGATGGGGTGGCTCGCACGTAAGAACTCCTAAGACCTCAGAGTTGTGAGGCCCAGTAGGGTGTAAAGAAGGTGCAGGAGGGAGTGGCTCCTCCCAAGGCTGCAGAGTATAGATCTTCTGTGCCACTCTGTTGGCTTTTGGTAGTAGCTGTGGTCCATCATTCAGAATCCAGGACCTCGCTGTCGCGAGCCCTCTTCTGCATCTGTTTCTGAATCTCTGTCTCTTTATAAGGTCATCCAACAGGGCCCATACCTCATGAAGGACCCAATTCCAAATAAGGTCACATTCACAAGCACTAAGAAGCTAGAACTTCAACACCTGTTTTCAGGAAAAGACAGTTCAACCCACAGCATATTTGATGACTCAGAGTCCAAGGGCAGCACCTTGCCTATATCTTTCCAGGTTTAAATTCAAAAGCAATTAAAGAATGTTTTTCTCCTAACTGCCCATGCATGGACTATTGTTTAGCCCTAAGGTGTTCCACACCCATCAAATGGCATTGGCAGAGAGATATTCAGGCCTGCACACTCTACCCATCCCTTAAACATAGAAACCAAGAGTAGAGGAAAGACTAGTTTCTCAGGGAATAATTAGAAATCTTTACCATTGAGTATTGGATACAGTTGGCCAAACAATTGCAGTGCATCAAAACACTTTAGAGAGGGTATAAGATAACACTATCACTATATCCAAGTAAGACACAGTATAGATATGTGGGGCTCCTATTTGACAACCATTTGTTACTTTTCTGTTTTTATTTCCCATTTTATTGAGATAACAATTAACTGATATTAAAGTGTATACATTTAAAATATAAATGTATTGAGCTTTAACAAATGAAATCTGTGAGTCCCTGTGAGTCCCTGCAAGCATCACGGTTGGCAGAAAAATGTTCTGCAGAGAGGCAAGAATGAAAACTCGGTTCAGTGTGACTTAGCCAAGCTGGTTTGAACTTCCTGAGTTCGTCAGGGCAGTTTATTTTAGACATATTTCAGTGCAGTACAATTTTGGATAAACGTTCCCTGGTAACAATATTCCAATTCCACGTACACAATAAAGCTTAAGATGTGACTACATGAAGACTCTTTTGCAAAGCACTTGTGACCTCTACCTTGAAGACCTATAACCTAAGGGCTTAGGATCTGGTGTGGTCTCTGACAGACGTAGCATTAGAGGTGAGCAGCCTGTGAAGAACAGGTGATATCTCCCCTAACTATGGATTCGCTTGACTGAGAAACAACGCTAAATATACAGATCTAGGGAGGGAGAGCCTGGGATAAACAATCTGGGGATTTGGGTGAGGTCTGGCTCTACAGAGAGCAAAGGTCACCAGGTTATTAACGATATCCACTCCCAACCTTCTGGGTAGAAAACAGGTTGATATTTCCTTCATTGAGGAAACAACCTGATTAACATTCCTGGTTCCTCTAGTGCCTGTCTGTGAGGACTCATGCTCTCTACAATGAAACAGTCACATTGGAGATAATTTAATATTTGTATCCTCAATGGTTTTCTTACATACTTTTATAATCCATAGCTCTCGGTCTTGACTACTGTTAGACAGCTTTTGATCTACTTTATGTCGCTAAGTAATATCATTCATTTAAAAACTGGACTTATACTCAGGCATTTTTGTGTGTGTGTCTCTGTTTTCTATTCAACGCAATTTCTTTGAGATTCATCCAAATTTTTACATGCAAGGTATTTTTTGATAGCGGATTCTTTTTAAATTGTCTACTCGCTCCTTCTTTGTACTGATCATACATTTTGGTTCATCAGTTTACCTACGGATGGACATTTGAGCTGCTTCCAGGTAGGAGAATATTTAAAAATGAAGATCTCAGTTGGAAAACATTCATTTAACATGAGAGTTTCATTTGCTTAATGATAGATTAATTGTATGTGAATACAGCATTCATTGCAATATTTAGGAACCAAAGATGTCCTTTCTTCCCCCTGCCAGTCCTGAACCTAAGGCCTCACATACGCTAGACAAGTACTTTACCACTGAGTTAGAGCCCCAGTTCAGGGGGAAAAAGATGATAAATGTTTTCTTCTTTTCTTTCCAGATACTGAGGAGAGCAGACAAAAATGGTAAGACCAAAATTCTACAATTTCTATTTATTAATTCATTATGTTTTAGACTATTTTGTAAAGAAGAACAAAGATGTGGAAAGTTCTTGAAATTGACCTATAAAATATAATTCATCAATTGCTATCATTTTCACCAAGTTATGCCTCCAGATACTCATGAGAAGAGGCAGATGAATTCAAATTTGACAGCAAGATGGAATTTATGCTTTTGAAGTAAGGAGTCCTGTCATATATGGGCTGTGATTTTTTTTCCTCTGTAATGCTTGGGGGAAAAAATAGAGCAATAATAGCTTCAATTGACTGAGTGTACTGAGCTGTGCATTTTGTCTGTTGTGTCTTAAGAGTTCTAAGCTAGAAGGTGCCTTGAACATAAATCTGTTTGGTCCCAGCATCTAGGCACACTAATCTCACAGTGGCCTAAGGCGTTCCAAGGGCACTGTGGGACGGCTGCCTGGAAACAGTAGGGCTTACTCCTGTACCTGAGGCATGGGAAACTCACATCCACAGAGACAGAAAAGGAAAAGATGGCAAGCGGAGTATAAAAGTCTGCCCTGAAAATCTAGAGGCGGCTCTGCTAAGTCCAACTATGAGCTCATAGGTAGATTTTACTCCTTGATTTCACTAGAAGTCTCCTTCCACAGAAGCAGAGCTTGTTAAGTTTGTTCTAGGAAAGTGCTTCACTGGAGTTACATTACTGGTAAGAGTGGCTTGATGGTTTTAGGGTACAAAAGCTTCCTTCGCTTTCTGGGAATCTCATTTCTTATCTCCAAGAAAAGACATGACCATTACTAAGAGATCTAGATATCTCTTGAGTATCCAGACCCAGAAGAGCTTTTCTGACACTGTACACCTTAGTCCCCAGCACCTATTGGTCCATCCAGGGACCTCTGGGAAAGCACCCCGAGTCTGAGACCATAAATCCCTTTCTTCAGGCAATGTTGCAGAGACCATTATATTGCCAGTTCAGGGCATCTTTATTCACTTGTGTGGTCTCATTACTCTTGAACATGGAAGTAAAGAGGCTTTCATATCTGACCTTTAATTCTCTGCTTAGTACCTAGCCCCAGGGGTGCCAGGGTCGCGTAGTATACTCGTCTATGCAGCTGCTGTGTTTTCCAGCACCGGCCTGCCTGGCCCCTCTCACTTGAAGCCCCTTCTTCAAAAAAGGATTTGCCTTTGTTTTCTTGGATTTCCAGATTCTGATAAGGCCTGATAATTTTACCTTTGTATCCATCTTTCCACTACCTATCAAAACTATCATACTCCACAATCATGGTAAAACCCAGTTACCACAACCCATATTCATGACATAAACCATCCGACAAATCAGTTCCCATGAATGAATTTAGAGGCTGATAGTGACCCCATATTTTATGGTACACAGAGAAGTCACCTGTTCCCCCATCCCTTATTCCCACCAGCCCCTCTCCCTAACGTGATTCCTTTCTGTTCCCTCCTCCTTTCTCATGTATGTTTTACCATGTGATCAAACCTCCTTTTTCCTGCTCTTGCCTCTCTCAGTCTTTGTCTGCATTTATCCTGCAGTCCTCTGAAGTATACAGTTTCCTGAGTGTTTCTCTTTTCTCTCACCTCCGTGACACAGGCCTGAATAATCATGGTTATTACGGCTTTCCACTCTTGGGATCTTGAGAATGTCCACATCTTGCATATCGTTTTGCACAAAAGGCCTCCTATCTAAGTCTTCTCTATGCTGCAGGGACCCACCCTCTCTCTGAGTTCCTAAGTCTTCCCTACACTGCAGGACCCCACCCTCTCCCTGAGTTCCTAGCTTTTCACTATGCTACAGGGCCTCACCCTCTCTCTGAGTTCCTAACTTTTCACTATGCTGCAGGGACCCCACCCTTTCTCTGAGTTCTTCACTCTTCTGCATATATAGATCATTGTAGTGGAGGGCTAAAGTTGATCGAGATTCCAGTTTGCTTAGCCAAACTTGCTTCTCTAGGTCAAAACTCTGTCTTCTGCATCAACACTATGCCTAGCATGCACCTTTACACTAGTTGGTATTTGTTTAATAGGTTACTGGTGAAGATACTCTGCCAGGATACACTGCTTTGATCCGTTCACTCCTCTCTGCCTTCTCTCTACCTTGTTCTTCACGCTGACTCTTGGTATAAAATTGGGGCATGCTTGAAGTCTAGCAGTTCTGGACCTAAATCACAGTTATCCTGCCTTGTGACCCCATGTATGCTAGGCATCATTGTCAATAGCACATGAGAAAACGTAAAACCTCTGGGGTGGTGCCTCATACCCAGTAGCAACTCAGTTTCCAAGCTGTGAGCTCTTTTATTTCGCAATGCTTGGGCAGTATGAAGCCACTGGTGACATTGCAGTAGTGTCTCCTGTAGCAGGACTTGGTGGGGCGGAAACAAGGCTCTTTACCAGACATGCTGATTTGAAAAAGGAAAGTAAAGGGGTGGGGTGATCTGGTGTAAATAAGAAGATAAAAAAAATAGCCATCTTTTTGTATCATACGATCTCTGTGTCATAAGATCTCTCATTGGAAATCAGCAGCTATTCTGTGTATTTACTCTCTTGGTAACAGACTCTCATGTGATGGAGACCCTTGTGGACAGCTTAATTGGTGCTGAGATAATGAAAGGAATGAGAAGCAATAAGCAGAATGAGTCAGCTGCCAGAGGACAGAATTAGCATTTGGACGCCTTCTGACATAAAAGAGAAGCTGCTGGGTAGATGGGAGAAAGGACTTGATTAGGGATTAGCGGCAATGGTGGTGTCTCGGAGAGAGAGTTTTTGGTCTGGTTGTTGTTTTTAAATCACAGGCTAGGACCCTAAGCAGAGGGATAGACTTGAAAGTAGTGTTGCTTAGGGAAGACACCAGGGCTTTGATCGCCAAAGCCCAAAATTAAGCTCGGAAATGCGGAACTCTGGAGGAGCTTCCTCGCCCACGGCTGGAGTGAAAATGGAAAAATAGTACACGGACATTTTTCAATCTTGTAAAAAATATTTTACATGTAATTTTTACTTAAGGATATTTAATCGACAAAATAGTTGATCGTGTGTATTCATGGTATATAACATGATGTTGGGCTGTATGCATTCATTGCGCAATAGTTATTGCAAATTGATTAACACATTCGTCACACAGCAGGTCCCCAGAACTTGCTGGTTTTATGACGGGAAGTGTGTATCCTTCTAAGAATGTCACCCCATTTCTCCTACACCCAGCAGCTGGCAACTGCCACTCTACTCTCTGTTTTTATGGGTTTGACATTTTTCAGATTCTACATATAACTAAGATCATACGGTGTTTACTGCTCTGTATCTGGGCCAAGAGATTTTCTTTAGCTTAGTAAAAGGCAAAGCGAAAAGGCGCCTAGTGGTGAGGGGTGACATCCAGTTCCTCTTTTGTGGACAGGCACTTGCTCAGACCCACGAATGTGCCAGTCAGCTAATAGGGTAGATGAATAGCGTTTGTGACCCCATGTGATGCTTGCCTCTGACTGAACAGCCCTGTCATTCTCTGGCTTTTAGTTATTCCAGTCTGTGAGGGCAGAGCTGTCTGAGGTCCGAGAGTCTGAGCAAAGTGCCTGCCGTGACATAGGTGCTCAATAAACTTATAAATAGTTGTGAGAAGAGTGTCATCAACAATTTGATCTTGAAGCTTGAAGAAATGGAACCAGATGAATTTATTTAATCAAGATTTACCCTGCTTGTAGCCATTTTTACCAGTCATTAATAGTGACTAAAATGTATGGTTGACTATTATGGCCTAGGACCAGCCCTGTGTTTTTCATATGCATTGTCTTGAATCAGTCTGGGAGTCCACACATAGGCTGTTTAAAGCCATAGGAAAGCTAGAATTTGGAAAAAAGAGATTCAGTGCCTTGCCTTCTGCTCTAGCTGCAAGATATTGAACAAGCCATTCACGGTCTCTGTGTTTCCTCATCTGTGAAATGGGTTGATAACATCATTCTCTCACCAAGATGCCTTGAGAATTAAACGAGATTATACTTTTGAAGCATTTTACTTTTATTATTACGTATTATGTATACACTGTAATGGATTGCATTATATTTCATAGTGAATTTCGGATTCACACACACACAACCTCGCCTCCCTCATTCACCCTTTCCCTACCTCTTCCCAGTTTCCCCCTCTTCTTCTTTTGTGCCTTTTTCTTTACCTTTGGTGACATAATGAGTTTCATTAGGATTGCTCACAGGAGCATTCATGAAGAAAATGCTTTTCCTCCATCAATTATTAACTGCCTACATATTCTCAAGGAAACGTGAAGCCCCACCCTTCCCAGTTCCACAGCAAGATATTGGCAGGTCCAATCTTGTACGAACCTGTGAGTATCGCCACTCAGCTGCGAGATCAGGAGTACAGAAGACATGCAACTCTCAAAAGTCAGAGTTCAATGTTGTCCCCCCCCATCTTCCTCTAATTCTTCTCATTCTTTGTTCTTTCCTCTTCCTCACTAATGTTCCGAGCCTTGGGGAGGAGCAAAGTGGAGGAGGAGCATAAAATAGATGTCTCACTTAGGAGTGGGCCTCAAAAGTCATATATTCTCCATCCTTTGACCTCTTCAGAGTCACTGCTGACAAAAAGCAAAGATGCTTCCTTGACCAAAGTTGATGTAAGAACTCTTCTATGTGTCTGACATTGTTATTTTAGAAGGCAATTTGATAGACATACCACGTCCAGTCAGCAAACCAGCAGCAGTAGCTTCCTTACTATGGTCTGTGACTCCCTGTCCCAGCCATGGGCTACCTATATATCTGTAGTGCCATGTGTGAAACCCCTCATGTAAAGCTGGCATCAAATCCAATCAAAAAGTGGTAGGTGACCTCCATGATAGACTTGCCACTGTTTGACCGGTCAGTTCATTTTGCCTGCCTCGGTACTGTTGCAAGCAAGGTCCATAGCTTAGTAAGGACGCTGCTATTATTGATGACAATTCTCCCCCAGCAGTGCAGCATTAATTTCAGTCTAGGTAATAATAGCTCATATTTGTA